AAGTAGATACTACTAATTTTATACTTGGAACGGGATTTTTTTTTAAAGTATAACGTTTGCTGCCCTGATGAGGATTTTTGTTACTTTTTTCTTTTTAATATTCATTAACATTACTTAATTAGAAAACTAAACTGATATTTCTATCTAACTTTATGTGACATATCTGAGACATCGCTCTTTGCTTTGATGTTGTTAAACAGAGCTTTGTCCCCACCCATTTGTTGTTGCTTTATTCTCCTTAGACTATATCTGCACTTAAATATTTGCAGTTCCCATAATGGTTTCCCAGTTGTGGATAATTTGGAGAATAATCAGAATAATGTTATATTCTTTATCTCTAATTAAATACTTCCCTTCTGTCATGCTTTCTAGAGGTGGAATTTAATACTTTTGGGACTTAGAGGTGCAGAAAACTGTCTATACCTGTTTTGGGAGTGCAAATCTAGTATTATGTAACAGCAGTAATGACTGTATTTCTTAAGAACTGGATGACTCTGAGAAACCCCCACCCCCAAAATATTCAGACTTTCTTTCCTTGGCTCAGCCTATGCTTTACTCTTAGAGCCAGTGCTGCACTGTTTACAGGAGCTTCTCTGACCATGCTTCATCTCTGTTTTGTGCTGAACCAGCTTTTATTTTCAGAAAAAAATACAGGTATACCAGATACGCTGTTCATTTTCTTTCCTTGGGTATTTATTGTTATTTTCTTAGGGAATGACCAAATAGTTAAAGGCATGACTAAATGTACAAATAGAAACCATACATCCAGTAGTATTCAGCAAAGAAAGAAAGTATTTTAAGTATGTAAAAATACATTGATTCATAGCATAATGACAAGATTCATCATGAATGAACAGCCTTGTCCAATAATATTTTTTTTTGCTGTTTGGTATTTAACATTTTGATTTGAGCATTCCTTGTTATAGAATGGCATATATTTAGTCTGTAATAACTTTAGGAAGCTTTCATAACACACATTTAGCCACACTTAACAATATGTGGCTTGTCACATTTTACTTCTAAGATCTTTTAAGGTAACTTTTTGATTTTTGTCATGCCATGCTCAATTAACATGTTTGGAGCTCTCTGCCCCTTGGAACCCAGGTATTTCAACCCATCCAAGATTTAGGCAGGACTACTCAATTCAAAGTTTTCCAACAGAAAAGGGCTTTTCTACAGTTGGTGGGAAAGCTGTCCATCAATTAGGAAAAATTAATTCAGCTCTCAAGGAAAACATCCTTTACACAGGTTAAGGCGTATGGTTCATGAAAAAGCTTGAAAAAGGTGTCAGCCTTGGTGAGGGGGACGATAGAGTTCTGAATGGACTGGCAAGTGTGGTTAGCAATGTTTGTAGAAAAACAAAAGGTCTTCCATGGGTTCGAAAGAGAGATTTGTTAATCTTCACAGTCATGCATTCTGCACTCTTTTATTCTATGCTTTTGCAGTTTAGTGCAACCTAAAATAGATTAATATAATGATTGAGTTACTCAGGCTATCAGGATAACAGATGTAATTTATTGTCAGTTTCTGTGTTAACTTCCTGCAGACATATAATTTCAGCATTCTGATTTTAAAAGAGAAGCACCACACCACTTTTGCCTTTCTAAATGATGTATTGTTAAACAAAGACATAAACTAAACATACATTTGAAACAGTGCACTCTAAATGCACCTGGAGGCAAGTTCTGTATGCAAAAGAATATACATATATATAGGTACATACATACATACTTACTTATATATATATATGTACAAGAACCTTATAAAAATCAAATCACTGCAGCAGCTCAGTTCTGAAAATGCAAGAGGCTTTGCTAATTTCCTGATACTCCACTCTATTATATAGTGTTTCAAGATCAATATACATCAGAATGTTTCAAAATCTACACCAGGTCAATGCAGTCTAGTTCTTGAGCCATGAGCTTTTAACATTGAGTTATATACAAAAAACAAGGACATAAATTCAATGTAGGTGAAAGCAATGTCTTATTTTCCTTCACTAGTTCCTAACACTTTAGAGAAGAATGACCTGACTGCTTGGAAAGTGGATTGATTTTTGAAGTCTGGAGCCTTACACTTTCAATAAATGCAAAGACTGGCAAGTATTGCAGCATGATACTAATAGTACGCAATGAGGCACTGCTAAACCATTTCCTGGTTGATTTTTCATTCGTATTTAAATAAAAATGATTGATCTGACATTGAGGAAGCATCAAAATTACGTGCTTTTAATATTACATCTTTGTCAAATTTAGGTTATTGAATCCAGAACTTGAAAAGCTACTGAAGCAGAAAACAAAAAAGAAATGTATGCTCAGACAAGCTAAATTCCTTAAGAAAATGAAACTGAGAACTGTTTCTCCTTACGTCCATTTGTATCAAATCAGATTCCTAGAATGCATATACTTAGCATTGGTGAGAAAAGCAAACCAGGGCAGGAAGGATCCAGCACAAGGGCAATGGAATTGATGAAGGTTCTAGAGCACAAGTCTGGTAAGGAGTACCTGAGGCATCTGAGTCTGCTCAGCCTGGAGAAAACGAGGGTCAGGTACCTTATTACCCTTTACAACTCCCTGTAAGGAGGTTGTGGCCACACGGTGGCCAGTCTCTTCTCCCTCGCAAGTGACAGGACAAGAAGAAGCAGTCTCAATTGTGCCACAGGAGGTTTAAATTATATCTAAATGATAACTTTTTACCTGAAAGGGCAGCCAGGCATTGGAACAGGCTGCCCAGGAAAGAGGTTAACTGCTTCTCTGGAAGTGTTCAAAAGGCCTGTGGATATGACATTTGTTCTCTTAGCCACCTGACAACTATGTGATATACTCTTTCAGCCTAAAGATATGCCTCCTTTGTCCTATCTTTACGTGACCTTATGAAAAGTCCCTCTCTAGCTCTCTTGTAGTCACATTTTAGGTAGTGGAAGATGCTATAAATTCTCCCTGGAGCCTTCTCTCCTCCAGGCAGAACAGCCCCAGCCATCTCAGCCTGACTTCATAGGAGAGGTGCTCCAGCCCCGACCACTTTCGTGGCTGTCCCAGCTCCAGGAGGTCCATGTTCCTGTTCTAGGGGTCCCAGCACTGAATGCTCCAGGTGAGGTCTCACAACAGCTGAGCACAGGGGAAGAATCACCTCCCTAGACCTGCTGGTTACTCTTTCACTATAGCCCAGGACGTGTTTCACTTTCTGGGCAGCAAGCTCACACTGCTGGATTACAACAAACTTCTCATCCATCAACACCCCAAGTCCTTCTTCCCAGAGCTGCTCTTAGTGAAGACATGTTGGCTGTCAGTCATCTCGTTATTTTCTATGTGCCTTACCATAGTTTTCAGAAGGGTTTGCTCTGCGAAATTGTTGGGTGCTGAGGTAACACACTGTCCTGTAGTTCCCCAAGTCTTCCTTATTTCCCCTTTTCCAATCATGGGAAATCTACCTGACCATCACAACTTCTCAAATACAGTGGCTTAGCCTCTTTCTCCACCAGTTCCCTCAGGATCTGTGGATGCAGCATCAGAACCCATGGAATTGTGCACCTTAATTTTCCTTATATGTTCTTGAATCTTATCCTCTCCTACAGTGGGTGGTTCTTCATTTTACATATCCCTGCCTTTGCTTTCTGTGACTTGGGAAGGGAGGCTGGAGTCACTTGCCAAGAAAGACTGAGGAAAAAAAGTCATTAAGTACCTCAGCTTACTCCATGTCCCAGGCAATCTCCTATATTCCTCTGGAGAGACCCCCACATTTTTCCTATTCTTTTTTTCCATCACTGATGTACCTACAGAAGTTTTTATTTTTGCCTTTTTATCCCTGCTTAAGTTTAATACTACCAGGGTATTATCTTCCCTAGCTGACCCCTGGGTACTCAGACTAACTCTCCATATTTCTCCCAGAACACCTGTCTTTTGTTCCACCCTCTCTAGGCTTCCTTTTAGTATTTGAGTTTCCAGAAACGCCTTGTTCATCCAAGCAGTTCTCCTGACTGACTGGGTTTGCCTGACTTCCTTTTTGTTGGGATGCATTGCTTGGAAGAGGCAGAGTCTGACTATTAACCAGCCTCTCTGTGCCCCTCTCCAGGGCTCTATCCCATGATAAAGCAGATGCCCAACAGACCAAGTCAGATATCCTGAAGTCCAGGGTGGTGAACTTGCTGTGCTTCCTCCTCATTGCCCGAAGCATCTTGCACTCCACCACTTCATGGGCACTGCAGCCCTTGAGCTTCACATTCCCCACCAGCCCTCTCCTTGTTGGTGAGAATAAGGTCCACCATAGCACCTCTCCTCACTGGCTCCTTTATGACTTGGAGAAGGAAATACTCACCAAGACATTCCAGGACACACAATGGTAGAACATGTTCCTAGGATGTGCCTAATTCTCAACGGCAGCCAATGCATTTCAAGTAGTTCCTGGAAATATTGGGTAGAAGCAGACACCAGGGATGCACATTTTCAGACCGAACAGATTAAACTAGGAGCTAGAAGCTATCAAACAGAGGACACAACCTGACTGGCCTTCCATAAACCGGCCATTTCAGCTGTGACCCATTCCTGTAGGAACATGCGCTACTTTGCAAGAAAGCACCACGGAACATTCTACTTCTTCATACCTAGAAAAGCTTGACCCAAGCTGGAGCTTAGCAGCGGCTCACAAACGCGCCTGACTGTGCTAGCGGGCAACAGTGATCCCACAGAAGAGCGAACGGCACTCTGCCGAACAACGCGGATGCCGGAGTCGTCCGGGACCGGAGGTCTCCCCACGCCCCACACTCCCTCTCCTCCAGTCCCCTGCCGCCGCGAGGCGTGGGCAGAGCGGCGGAGTCCCTAGGCTGCCCTCCTTCCTTTCCTCTCACTTCCTCTTTCAGCCTCCTCGCTTCCACGGCGAAGGCTGCCACACACCGACCGCCGACGGGGCAGCGGCGGCAGCAACGGGCACATCGGTGCGTGGCGCCTCCGAGCGGCCGCGGGGCAGCTCCCGCCGCGCCGAGCCGG